TTTGGTAATTAACTAGAGATAAGAGTCACATAGCCTTTCCTGCCTGGGCTGGCTTCAAACCACAATCCTCATAATTCAACCTCCCAAGTAGGTAAGACTACCGACATGAACCACCAATGCTGGCTTCTGTTTTCATTTTTTAAGAGAAGGAGAACAAAGAGGAGGAGGGAAGATATGGAACAGATCTTTTCCATATCTGGTAAGCCACCATAATTTCAGTAACGAAATGTAGAGTCAGCACTTAACCAATATTTACCAGTGATTAAATTTGTTTTAGACCTCATTTTCTTTAGACAGAACAATCACCTATGAGCAACACGGAATATAATGTTGTCAAATGGACTTGTGCCTCTCCACCTCCTCTCTCTCCACATATTCCATTAAGGATCTGGTAGCAGAACTAGCTCTGTACTACACATTATTCTTTCATCTGCCTGCGACCTTTCCTAGCGGACCCCAGAGCTCACATTCTTCCCTTTACCTGAAGCACTGCTACTTTAGGACTCTGCTGTTTAATTCCTATTTATTCAAGGAGACCCAGAAATAAACAAACAAACAAAAGGACGCCATCCACAGGCCCTGAGTTCAAGCCCCAGTTGTGGCACGAGATCAACAGAACAATAAAAATAAAGTGCTTGACTGTGGAACACGATGAATTATACAAGAGTCTAGGCATTCATATACTGTGAGACCCAAAGAAGAAACTCTTAGGAGAGGAACACAAAGTACAATGCCTCTCTGCCTCTGATCTTATAAAACAATACTTACAAAATGAACTCCAGGAAATGGAAACAAGAGGTTTTATTCTTCATTGCTGTGTTTGGTTTTCTTTTTGTCGTTTATCTATCTGTCTTTGGGAAGGCACAATATGCAAGGAACAAAGAGTGAACAAACGCAGCAATGGTACTCACTAGACACTAGGAAAAGTAACTATACAACTTGTGGGTAGGGACAGGAGGGGAAAACTCGGAGACAGCGAAGGAAGGGGTGACATTGTCCAAAAAGAAATGCACTCATTACCTGACATGTAACTACAATCCCTTTGTATATCACCTTTATAACAGTTTTTAAAAAAGTGCTTGAGAGTCCTCAATACAGGATTTCACCACCACAGGGGTAACACAGTCTGAGAGGCATGAGGCTACACTTTTGCCTTAACTCAGAGTCTCTGGGTTTGGCATGTCTCCACCCAACACATCAGGCAACTTCACTAGGTTTCATAGGCATCATTTCACTGGTAAGTCTTCTCTGAATTTGCCAATAGTCACTTCATCCTGAACTCTTGTCATCTCTCCTGTCATCTCCTTGTTCTTCCCCCTCTCCTCTAACGCAATTAAAGGCAAGACTGAAAACTCAATCCCATGATAAGTACTGGGACTCACATGTACTCTATTCCCAAATGTTAAGTAAGCGGTGTGTTCCGGCCTGGCCTCTCCTGAAAGGCTGTCCTACTGAGGCGATCAGATTGTCTCTTTGGTTTGATGTGATCTGATATCCCAGTCATCTTGAAGTTGGACCTAAAAGTTCCAGATGGCTGTCTGCTCTGGAACTTGCTGGTCTTTTGAAGGCCCAAAGGCTCTACCATACACACTGGTGAGAGCCACCGACAGCGGCCAGCAGCTCATCCGCGCACCCTGGCGGCCACTGTGGGTAATAATGCTACTTTTTCATGGAACTCCTTGAAAATTCACAAGTTGCACTCTGAGGAAGTCAGCTTGGGTGACACCAGGGAGGGAGGAAACTTTTCAGAAGATACTTTCGGTTCTCAGCTTCCTTGTCTCAAGGTCTTTAACAGGTGGCAATTACCATCATTCTCTTTCCCTTTAAGGATCTCCCTCGTCCAGGGTGTAGCATGGGAAGCCACCAAGCTCTCTTAGTAACAAGGGGGGAAAAACTAGAATGGGGGGGGTTCCTAAAAATTAGAACCTAGGATCTAAAAAGATCTTTTCATTTTATTTTGCCCATGATATAAAGCTTGTTCCTAATGCATTTAAGACTTCCCAGACTACCCCGAGCTCCAACATGGCCTGCAGACTCCAGATTGAAAGGCTAGCATTCTACCACTTGAGCCACAGCACCACTTCTGGCTTTTTCTGTTTATGTGGTACTGAGGAATCGAACCCAGGGCTTCATGCATGCTAGGCAGGCACTCTACCACTGAGCCACATTCCCAGCCCTATTTAACCTCTCTTAAAACTTGTCTCATCTGTAAAAAGTAGGGTCATAATAGTAGTATGGTATACAGATTTAAGGCGGAACATCCATGATAACCTACAAAAGGTGCCAGTTTGGCACACTGAAAATGTTAACAAACACTAGCTATTTTAATTCTCCAAAGCTCATTATCAGTTTAGTCTAGAAAAAAGAAAAGGTATATAAGCAAAATAAATTTCATGAAGAGCTTACCATTTCCCAAAGTGACCTTAGGTTATAAAAAAGGCGTCTTAGCCGGGGACAGTGGCTCACACCTGTAATCCTAGCTACTCAGGAGGCTGAGATCTGAGGATCATGGTTCAAAGCTAGCCCAGGCAGGAAAGTCCATGAGACTCTTATCTCCAATAAACCACTAGAAAACCAGAAGTGGTGCTATGGCTCAAGTGGTAGAGTGCTCGCCGTGAGCTGAAGAGCACAGGGAAAGTGCACAGGCCCAGAGTTTAAGCCCTATGACTGACAAAAAGAAAAAAAGGGTCTTGCTTGTGGAGTATAGTCCAAGCAATAAATATCTGGAGGGAAAAAACAATTCCAAAAGGCACAGATCTTTGGCAGAGCCTTGCTTTACACACAGGTGCCTTCTACCCCACCCTTCACACACAAGTGCCTTCAAGCCTTTGCACACAAGTGGCCTCCACCCTACCCCACCCTTCTGCCTCCATGTACAAGCATTTAGGGTGAGTCTGGGCCTGGTGGCTTTGAACCAGGCCTGAGGACCGCGTGGCTCAAAACAAGAGGGTTTCAGGCCAACCCCAGGGAACTGAGATCTCAAAGGCCAGGCAATCCAAGCCAACCAGGTTCACTCCCCTCTAGGAGTCTAAAAGCTGGCAGAGCCTCATGCCCAGCTCAAAGTCCAGGCGAGGCAGAAGGTGGCCAGGAAGTGTGACAGATTAAGAGAAAAAAAAAACCCAAAAAACAACCAAACAACCTGATAGAAATCATGTCAGAAAACATAAAGCTGAGCAGTTATGCGGTCCTGAGCCAGAGGCCTTGGCTATATCCAAGCAGATCAGCCCCACCTAGAAAGGCCACTGCTTCTGCTCTTCAAGTGGTGGCAGGGCTCCACTTGAATGGCACAGCTCTCTCTTTAAGTATGAATGGGAAGAGAGTGGTACAGTCTGGTTGGGCGTGGGGAGGGGTTTCACTGGCTCCCAAGGAGGGGAGCTAGTAGTTGAAGCTGTGCCTCCTTCCATATTGCCCATGTGGGTTTTCTAACAGAGACAGGCAGGGGCCTGGGCTGCCAGCGACCCTGACAAGCCACCACTTGATCTATGCCTGACAGGCTGGGTTGCATGGGGAGCGGTCTACCAGGAGGGAGGGAGGGAGGGCACTCCTGGGGAAGGGGGTGGGGTGGGGAGGGAAAAGGGGCGGACAGCCATGAGCAAAGGCACGAGGGAAGAAAGAATCTGCTGCGCGATTGAGGATGGCATGGAGACTTCACTGATTGGAGCTAGGAGTTCTTGCAGGGGAATGGAGGCAGCTATGATTGGACAGCTAAAGTGGGGCCAGATTTGGAGGGCTTTGAATGCCCGACTGAGGAAGAGCCCTCAACCCAGCTCCTGACTTGCCATTTCTGTTCAAGATCCAATTCAAGGGTGGCTAATTCCAACCAGGAGACTATTATTGTTTGTTTGTTTGTTGGAGGTGGGGGGAGGGAAGGGGGTGGCATGCTGCAAACTCAGCTTACCTGCTTGCCTCAGATAGAAGGAAATCAATCCTCCCTGGTGCAGAAGTGGAGGGTGTGTGTGTGTTAATCATGTTGGTGAATGTCACTTGATTTGTTTTGAAGATAGCAAAATAAAAATAAAAATGCCATTTGCAAGCCCGATATGATTACATCCACCCCCCCCTCCTCCCACGAGTTGTTTCTCTCAGCCCTTCCTCCACGTTTTCCTCCTCCCCCCTTCCCTCCCCCCCTCTTCCCCCCCCCCCCCCACACCGGGACTGGATCTCTGGTGGCGGTTTCCCAGCCCCTCCACCCACCCCCCCCAACACACACCACAGGGCCCTACCGCCCCCGTGCGCCCCCCTGTGGACCCCCCTCCACGCCGCGCCCGGCCGTCCACGCCCCCCCTCCGTCCCCCCCCCCTCCCTCGGCTGAGCGGTCGGTGCTGCGCCGTCTGCGCCGGGCCGCAGTGCGGCTGCGCGCGCTGGGCCGCTCCGGGGCAGCGGCGGCCGCGGCGGCGGCGGCGGCGGCGGCGGCAGGGCCGGGAACGAGCGGCGGCGGCGGCGGCGGTGGCCGAGGTGGCGGTGGCCGAGGTGGCGGCGTGGTGGTGGTGGTGGAGGAGCGGAGCTGGGGTTGCAGCAGCGTGGGGACCTCGGAGTAGGAAGCCCCCCCCCCGGTGGGGGGGGCGCGAAGGGAGGAAGGAAGGAAGAAGGCCGAACCCCCGGGGCCCCGGGGCCGGCGTCGTCTTGGGATTTAAGGGGGGCCCTGCTCCCCCGCACCCCTCCTCCTCTTCCTCGGCTTCACCCCACCCCTCCAGCATACCACCCCCCCCCCCCAAGTCCCGGCCGCTGACGAGAGGAGGCGGCGACGGGGGGCTGCGGGGCGCCGCCATGCTTCGGCCGCGGTGAAGCCGAGGCGCTCGGTCTCCCCGGTGATGTCCCCCCGGCGGCCGGCCGGAGCCGCGCACTCGAGCCCCGGGGTCTAGGCCTACGCTTGCTCCGGCCTCCTTCCTCTTTCCTCCTCCTCCTCCTCCTCTTCCTCCTCCCCCTCCCCCCGCCGCCTCCCCTCCCCCTCTCCCCTCCCCCTCCCCCCCCCGAACCCCCCCCCCCCTTCCAAAGCCGCGATGGCAGAAGAACAACAGCCCGACGCCCATCAGCAGCTTCCCCCCGGCACCCCCAGCCCGGGGGTGGCCCTGCCAGCGCTGGTGCCCGGGCTGCCAGGGACGGAGGCCAGCGCGCTGCAACACAAGATCAAGAACTCCATCTGGTAAGAGGATCCCTCCATGGCCGGTGGGGTGGGAGGGGGGGGGAGAGGGAGGGCGGGCGTGTGCGTGTGCGCGCGCGTGTGTGTGTAAAAAAAGAATAAAAATAAAACAGGTCCAGTACCGTGGCTGCTGTGGCCAAAGGAGGGGGGGGGAGCCGAAGGGGAGGAGGAGGAGGAGGAAGGGGGGGGAAGGTGGTGTGCATTCATTCAGTGGTGGGTTTCCAGGGTTGCAGATGTGTGGAAGCTTTGGGGAGGGGGGGGGGAGCGGGAGAGGAAGGGGGGATTTTGCAGCTAGCCACCTTGGATTGCTTTAATCCAACCCCCTCCCCCCCGCCGCCCTCCTCCTCCTCCTCCTCCTGCAAAAACTAAGGTGGTGTTCCCTCTCCCCCCCCCCTCCTCAATTTCAAGTGCAGATAAACAAATGTTGGTGCTTTGGGCCGGGTCGGTGAGGAATTGGGTCAGAAGGCAGTCGCCGCACGCCGGCGGTGGCTTGGATGTGGAACTGGGAATGGGAAAAATGTGTTTACTCCCCTTTGTCGCCGCCGCCGTCGTCGTCGTCGTCGTCGTCGCAGGGGGAGGAAGATGTGCATTGTGAATTTTCACCCAACACACATTGTGCGTAAGAATATTCATAGGCAGCACAAAAGCTGATGGAACCCTTCCTTCCAGTTGGCTTGGCCGCTGCGTGTGGTGTGTGGTGTGGGTGGTGTGCGTGTCTCCTTTAGGCTCACGTTAAGATCTCTCTTCTGGGGCAGTGTATTCTTTGTATTGGATGTGAAGAAATTGCTTCATTAATAGAATTTTTGTGGAAGGTGAAGGTAGGTAGTGTTACACTTTTTTTTTTTTTTTGAATTAAGAAAGAAGGAATCAAATAAACGTCTTGCCATTTCGTCTATTTTTTTTTTTTAAGAAACGGCCGACGAAATACCCTTTGCTATTCTGTATCTTCCTTGTGTGAGAATTTCCAATATTTCCGCATTAGACTGAACTCCTGAAATAACTCCGGTGGGAATCTTCATCATTAAACACACTGAGTTAAGACCATCAACTGTAAGAGCCAGTGATAGTGTTCTTGGAACGTGAACTTGGATTGTTTTGCAGGATTAACTGCTGTGTGTGTGTGTGTGTGTGTGTGTGTGTGAGAGAGAGAGAGAGAAGTGTAGCCTTTTAAGTGGAAAGCAATATTTAGAATTTGGTATAAGATTGCTTTTCATAGGCGTTTTACAATAGAATTAAATGTGGTGTTAAAATAAAAGTCTTGATTTTTGAATGAGAATCTGTCTGGGCAGTCATTGAGTATGACTTATAAAATATCAAAACTGCTTACTTTCACATTGCCACTTAAAAACCAGCGTGTCATAAAGCCAGTTGGCATTGCGTTTATGGTATTTACTCATTTAAAAACAGTGACATATTTTAAATACAAAATAAAGGTTTATTGTATAGTAATTTCCATTATTGTTTTGGCATGCTTCCATGTCGGCATGATTTGAAGTATGTCAGTGGAGGCTTTACTAGTATTTTACTAAACAATAGTTGGCACGGGAGAGCTTGGTTTCAGTTTTAATTTTAAAATAAAGTTTAAGTATTTTAAGAGAGAATAGGTCTTGATAAGTTGAATCGGTCTGCTAGGAGTTATGTATGTGAGAGAGAGCACACTTTATTTTTCAGTGGAAACCTTCAAGAACTCCTTCATAAAGCTGTATTTTAAATGAAGAGATAGTTTCCTACATAACTATCAAAACCAATTCTGTTTTTTTTCTTTTTTAACCCCTACGTAACATAACAAGTTATCTGAAATCACAGTTGAATTGAACTCAACTCCATTCAAACAGTGAACCAACCTCCAAGTTAAATGACTAAAAAAATCTTGTGAGAAAGACAAATCTTACAAGTTGAATTAATATGGTGTATTGGAGTTTATTATGAGAACAGAAAAGGGAAAGAATATATATTGTTTAAAAATAACAGTAAATTGTCCTTGTGCCAGTGGCTTATGCCTGTAAATTTGTAATCCTAGCTTACTCAAGAGGCTGAGATCTGAGGATCTCAGATCTGAGGTTCCACACAAGCCAGGGCAGGAAAGTGTGTGAAACTCTTATCTCCACTTAACCACCAAAAGAGCTAGAGGTGGAACTGTGGCTCCGCTGTGTGGAGCCTTGAGCAAAAAAAAACTTGAGCACAGGCCCCGAGTTCAAGCCTCAGGACCAGCACTAAAAAATAAAAAAATAAATAACACTAAGTTGTATTAGGTACTGAGTATATGGGCTGGGGGTGTGACTCAAGTGGTAGAAGGCCAGCCAAGCCAGCACACTAGGGAGCATGAGGCCCTGAGTTCAAGCCTCAATACCAGGAAAAAAATAGATAACTGGGTAGTGAGTAAAGTGGTTGAATAATGACTACTAAGTGCTTTGTTGTGATTTTTAGTAAATTATTTAATAATTTATTTTAGTAAATCATGGTTATGCATTCATCACAAGTGTATTGCTAACTTTCATGTGAGGAAAAACTTTTTTTTTTTTTTTTTTTTGGGTCCGGTCGTGGGGCTTGAACTCTGGGCCTGGGCGCTGTCCCTCAGCTCTTCAGCTCAAGGCTAGCGCTCTACCACTTGAGCCATAGCACCACCTCCGGCTTTTTTTTTTTCTGCTTATGTGGTGCTGAGGAATCGAACGCAGGGCCTCATGCATGCAAGGCAAGTGCTCTACCACTGAGCCACCTTCCCAGCTCCTGAGGAAAAACTTCTGAAGTCTAGTGTACTTCACTTTTTGATACTAGCTTTGAAAAATAATGGGCAATAAACACTTTGATCCCAAAATGATTCATTTAAGTTCTTATTTAGAATTATACTGGCCGATTTACTAACATTTAGTTTTCAACTTGAGAAGTTCTATTTGCACAAGTCATTTCTATGTAGTTAAAAGATTAACCTCAGAAGTATGTGGTACACATTAATGGATATATTTACTCTGTAGTCCCATAACCCCAGTTCCACAAGATGGGGCTACTGTATTCAAAAGCTCCTTCACTGTCATGTTTGCCTGAGAAATGGCATGTGTTAAATTTAAATCATTTAGAAATCATTTTAGTATAGTAGCAATTCTTTAGTTATTTCATTTTGTGCTCTTTGAGGTAATATCTTCTTGACCCACCTTTCATCGCCTGTTATATCCTAAGTGTTTATCTTCTGTACAACTTATCATATCGTCTTTTGGCACTGTTACTATCAAGAATTTAAAATTAGATTCAAAAGAAATGTGGCATTTAAAAATTATCAAGTGGTTTTGCTTTTAGGTTGATCATAGTTTCTAAATGACTGGGCTTGCCGATCACAAACAAGTTTGTACTTGCCCTCCTACTCTACAAAGTATAAATATAGTATGTGATGTAGGCCTTTGGCTGGACAATGAGTTATTTATTATCTCTGCTCACAATTAAGTTACTCTGTTTTATTAAACTAAAATGCTATTTGAGAAAAGTATTCCATTGTCATTTCAAGCAATAAATATGTCTTTGCAGAAAAGATTAAGCGTTCTGAGTTGAAGCTTTATTTATTTTTTTGGTGCCAGTCCTGGTGCTTGAACTCAGGACCTGGGTGCTGTTCCAGAGCTTTTGTGTTTAAAGTTAGTGCTTTACCACTTGAGCCACAGCTCCATTTCCAGCTTTTTGGTGATTAATTGGAGATAAGAGTCTCATGGATTTTCCTGCCCAGGCTGGCTTGAATCATGATCCTCAGATCTCAGCCTCCTGAATAACTAGGATTACATACATGAGCACCGGTGTCTGGCTAGAAACAAAATTTTAAGAGTTGGAAATATTATGTTTTTTAAAAATAATATTAGAAAACAAAGATGTTGCTAGCTTAATAGTGTTGTGTTAATATGCTTTGTGTTTGTGTTAATATGTCTGTGAATGCTTTCAACTTCAATCCAGGCTAAAGGAGCCTTCCTCTGGGCTTCCTCATTCCCACTCCACAGACAAAAGGTCTAAATCACTCTTCGCCCTGGGTAGGAGATTTATTTATTCATTTTTATTTTTGTCAGTCCTGAGGCTTGAACTCAGGGCCTGGGCACTGTCTGTCCCTGAGCTTCTTTTGCTCAAGGCTAGCACTCTACCACTTGAGCCACAGTGCCACTTTCGGCTTTTTCTGCGAATGTGGTACCAAGGAATTGGACCCAGGCCCTCATGCATGCTATAGGCAAGCATTCGACCACCAAGCCACATTTCCAGCCTGAGGAGATTTATTTATGAAGGTGTTTTAATACCAAATATATATGTGTATACACCACACATATACATACACGGGCTGTCAAAATGTTAGTATTTTCTAAATAGTAGAATTATTTGTTTTATTTTATTTTTTTGGTCTGGTCGTGGGGCCTGAACTCGGGGCCTGGGCGCTGTCCCTCAGCTCAAGGCTAGCGCTCTACCACTTGAGCCACAGCGCCACTTCTGGCTTTTTTCTTTTTGCTTATGTGGTGCTGAGGAATCGAACTCAGGGCCTCAGGCATGCAAGGCAAGCGCTCTACCACTGAGCCAACTTCCCAGCCCTAAATAGTAGAATTACAAAGTAAACTTTTTATTGTTTTTGGTCATCGTGGGGCTTGAACTCTGGGTTTGGGCGCTGTTCCTACGCTCTTCAGCTCAAGGCGAGCCCTCTACCACTTGCCACAGTGCCACTTCCGGTTTTCTGGTGGTTAGTGGGAGAGAAAGAGTCTCAGTGGACTCTCCTGCTGGGGCTGGCTTGAACCGTGATCTTCAGATCTCAGCCTCCTGACTAGCTAGGATTACAGGTGTGAGCCATCGGTGCCTGGCTCTAAAGTAAACTTTTGAAAGAAAGTAACTAGAAAAACCCTATTTTTTCTTTTTGTATTTTTGTGATAGGGCTTTGTTGCGCAGTTTCAGCCTGAGTGGATTTTAGGTGTGTGTGTATTACCATGACTAGCTTCCGTGTCCTTTTTCTAAAGGAGGGAATACTCCTATTGTAACCAACCTTTCAGCCTTGT